TTAATCGTAATAATTTTTGATAAGATCAACTTCAGCGTTAAGAAAATTGAAAAGACTGTTTTTCATCATGAAAAGTGATTTTTGAAAGTTGTAAACAAATTCAAATAAGTTTTTAATTAGATTTCCGTATGACTTTATAACCAATTTATTGTAAACTAATATGTGTTAAGTTAATAATAAATTTGTTTTTTTGAGTTGGTTACTGTATTTATAGAAGTTATTGGCATCAATATATCAACTGTACCTAATGGGGCACAGTGATCGTTGACTATGCGGGGCTCATTGATCGGAGGATCAAAGTGCCCCATATAACTTATATTATAAGACTTAAATTTTTTGTTTAAATTTTATACATTTAAACTTATGACGAATAAAAAATATTTAAAATTTCATTTTTAAAATGTAATAGTGTTAAAAGCTAATATTAATAACATTATTTTTTAGTTTTACATAAGTTTTACAATTAGTTTACATAATATTATTATATAAAAGTGTTTTTTTAAACTATGGACTTTCAACTAAGTCAACACGATTATTGGCATACGAATTTGCTGTAAAAAATAATAAGATTTGTCTTTCATCATGGATCAAGAATAAAATTGCAGGGATTGATTGGTTGCAAGGTTTTATGAAAAGACAACCAGAGTTGTCTTTACGAACACTTGAAGCAACTAGCTTTGCTCAATCAACTGCCTTTAACCGACACACTGTTGGAGAATTTTTCCAAAATCTAAAAACAGTTAGAAATCGATATAAGTTTGATCCTTATTGCACATATGATGTTGATGAAACTGGTTTAACAACAGTACAAAAGCCAGTAAAAGTGTTAGCAGGTAAAGGAAGTAAACAAGTAAAAAGAATCACATCTGCAGAACGAGGAACATTAGTAACTGTATGTTGTGCTTCAAATGCAATTGGAAACTCAATTCCAATTGCGGATTTAGTATAGAGCGTGGGGGAAACAAGCTGCCCCCTTGCCCCCCTAGAACGGTCTACTAGCGCCCCCTAAATTAATCAATATATATATATATATATATATATATATATATATATATATATATATATATATATATATATATATATATATATATATATATAAGATCAAATTACTGAAGGCAACCCCGGTCGCCCCTATTTATTGACTTGGCTCTTCCGCGAGACTAAACCTCAATCCGCCACTGCTCTATTCCTCCACTATTTGTTTTTCCTAGGGTCAAATTTCATGATTACATAATAAAGGAAGGTCCTCCTGGATGCGTGGGATTTGCAAATCCTTCTGGTTGGATGAATTCAGACATCTTTATAGAATGGATAAAACATTTTGTGAGGTATTCAAACTGGTCTCGTGAATCTCTAGCTTTGTTACTTCTGGACAGCCATAAAAGTCAAATTTCTGTTAGAGCTTTGGATCTTGCAATTTAACATGGAATTACAATGCTAAGATTTCCTCCCCATTGTACCCATAAATTGCAACCATTGGATAGAACTGTTTTGGACCATTTAAAAGGTTTTACAATGCTGCCTGTGATAATTGGATATACAAAAGCTTTCTCACCATCTAATATACAGAGAGGATTTCAAGTAGCTGGCATTGAGCCATTTAATCCAGAAATTTTTAAAGATGATGAATATTTACCATTATCAGTTACAGATCGTGCTGCTCCAGATGTAGTAAACACAAATCTTGTTGAACCTGAAATGACTGTAGCACATGTTGATGGCATGGAGCCTGAAATGCCTGTAGTACATAATGAAACAAGTTTTTCGAACAAAGTGTCACCAAGCATTTTATTGTATGAGCATCAGGCTTTAACCAATTTGTCACTCGTTTGTACTTTCTTGGCATCTGAAAAATATTACACACATTACTCACTCTATTATTTAAAAACTATACTTTTTTAAAATTGCATGAACCAAAATTCATATTATTAATGAAAATAAATTAGTACCATAACACTAAAAACTTGTAATGAGATTAAATTAAAAAAGGGTAATAATAACTTTCTGCTAACTTAATTTTTTACAAAAAGAATTTATTGAAAAAATTAAGATATAACAATTTAAACAACTGATAAAATTGAACAGTGTCCCATTTCACCCAAGTCTCCTGTCCCAAGTCACCCCATTACTAGTAGGTATGAGAAAACTTTTATTTTATATAGTTCTCTTAACCATTTGCTAATTATATTTCTTCAGTAATTAAATAAGACAATAATAATTAAAAACGATAAACATAGAATTATATGGAAACATAACATAAATATTTATTATTAATGACGTCTTCAAAATCCAAGAAACTTGTTAGATTTTAACATATTCGAAAATAATTTGAATTTTAAAATACTTTTGAAACTCAAAAAACACAATAATATGAAGTGCTTATTGTAATCTTATCACATATATAAAAAAAACTGCTTTAACAATTTTTTTGCTGAGAAATCGCCATGTCTTATCTCACCCCATGTTTATATTTCACCCCGTTCTCCCCTGAACATTCTATCCAACGTGTTCTATTCTTTTTTATCTCTGGGAAATTTATAAATTTTTAAAACGTTTGACTTCAATGATAAACAAGAGGTCGTCCATAAAGTACGTACGGGGGGGGAAAGGTCTTCAAAAAGCGTAAGATAGCGTATGGGGGGAGGGGGGAGGAGGAGGGTTCAATTTAAAAGTACGTACTTCGATTTTCTAATTTTACACAACTAACCAGCTAGTCAATAGATAAGTTAAAATTCTGACTAAAGATCCTAGTTTGCCAGCATAAAAAGATATATTTTATAGGAAGTAGAAGGTATAGTTTCTCTCTATGCCTACACATGCATGGGCGCCCGCAGGATTTTTTGATGTTCCAGATAAACCACTTCCACACATTGTGCAAACTTCAAACTTAAGTATGTTTAAACCTATGCCATTTGAAGAGGTTTTGCAAAAAGTTGTTATGGTGATAGCCTGGGAACAAAAAAGCCCTCAAATGCTTGCATCCCCTTCCCTTCCCAAAGTTGATGGCACTAATATAGTAAAAATTTCCGATCCCCTTCCCTAACAAAAAAAAATAAATGAGGGGTTGTACGTTTTGCATTGACATAACTTTTGTAATTAGCAATATTTTTCAACGAAATTTAAATTCTGTCGATAAATTTGAATTTAGTTTTAGATCGTTAAGTTAAATATTTTACTACATAAGTGCCCTACCGTTTCAACCGTTCCAATTTTTTATAAGGTCTCCTCATTTGGCATAGGTATAAACAAACTTAAATTTGGAGTTTGCACAATGTGTAAAAGTGCCCTATCTTTAATATTCTCCCCCCTCCCCCCTCGAAAAAAATGTGTCAAAATCTTCCAAATTTTATTGCTAAGTTTTGCTAAAATAAAAAGCTCTTTAAAGTAGCAAAAGGGTACAAAATTTGCTGCTACCCCACAACCCCCCCATCCTCTCTAATTACGCGGTATGGGTAACCTACACTCGGCAGTGGGTTTTAAACTTTGTTTTTAATATTACTCTTCTCGCGTAAGACTCGCTTTTTAAGGACTTACTAAAGAGGTGTGCCTAAAAAAAACGTCTGCTATAAGTATAGTTTATTTTTATTTGATGCGTTTCATTAAACAAAAAAATAAAAAAAACCTTACCGAGAATCAAACTCGGATCTCCGCCGTCACTGCCTACTGTACTAGGTAAAATGCTAACTGCAAACCGCGAACTGCGAAAATTTATTGAAATAAAAAAGGTGGAGGATTACCCTAGATACTTCTAAAGTATCTTATTATTACTTTTAAAGTATCTAGGGTACCTTCTCCACCTTTTTTCTTTCAATAAATTTTTTAACTTAAAAAAAAAAATTGAGGGGGGGGGTATATGAACAGGGGGGAGGGGGTGTCAAATTTCAGAATTTTTGGCGTACGTACTTTATGGACGACCCCTAATTTATAGAACAGCAATAAACACATTTCTATATTTTTCATAAACATAAACAAATATCGCCATTTTCATTGTAGACTAAATAAAGAGAAAATATATGCAAACCAACAAACGGTGTTATTTAATTTAGAATTTAAAGTTTAAAAATTATCGTTTTTATTTCATGATTGCTATTCACTTTATTGAAAAAAGTTTCATATACGGAGAGTATATATTTAACAGAATTTTTATCTTTGCTACACAAATTTTGTTTTCGCTACAGGTTCTCGTTTAATTACTTTTAGTCATAACTTAAGACCTCGTTGTTAATAAAAATATTGCTGTTAAATAGCTTAAATACATAATAAGTTATAGGTGGTATTTATTTAGTTGCACAATAAAGCGATAGGCTGAAAAAGTGGGTATAAATGGATTTTTTTGAATACACAATTCGCATCAATTTCGTTGTACAACTTATTAGAAAAAATATCAAATGATAAGAAAAAAATATTTTTTTTATTTATTTATTCTTTTTAACACCCAAATTACAGGTAAAAAAATTTTTGCGGTAGAAGATAAAAAAAGTTCGCTAAAATTTGCGAACTTTTTATTTAGGCATTCTTTTTTTCTGTTTCAAAAGTAAAAAGCTTAAAATATTAAGTTAAGGGTTAAATCAAGCCCAGGAAAAGCAGACTTTTCAAAAGTTATTAAACATTCTGTCAAAAATGCAGCTTTAGCCAGGAAAATTATTGAAAATAAAAATAGGAATTCAATAATGATAAAAGCAGAAATGGCCCTTGCATTAAAAATTAATTGTGAACTCAGTGATTCACAATAACCAATTCTTAGAAACTCTTCACTAAAACAGAATGCAGAGATATACCCTTCAGTCAAAGTAATATTTGATGCAAAATCTAAATGTTATCCAGAAATCTTGGAAATTTTAAAAACATCTGCCAAGTATTATGCGGGTTTTTCTCGAATTTAATAAAATTTTAATAAAATTTTAAAAATTAAACGGAGAAAGTTTTTTTTTTTTGGAAAAATTTTGTAATAATATGACGGTTAACTATCTATTAATTTATATTTTTTGACCTTCTTATTTTTAATTTAAGCTTATAGCTTTGATTCTAACGTAGTCATTAACAATGGCCATTTTATTATAGCCCAATGTCATCATCCTAAGTTGATCATAACCCTCGATCTTAATAAATTTTTTTGAAAATATAATAACTAAAGACAAAAAAAAATGTATAGAATGAGTTATTGGTCTGTTGTAAAATGAATTTAAAAATTCGTATCTAACCATGCAGAGTGAACAGCCCTAAAGCTATAGCTTGCTGATTGCAAACTTTTTCTTTAGTTTAGTTAAGTTAGTTTATTAAATTTATTTAAATAAATTAAACTTTTACTTCGAAACAAAATTCGAAGAAAAATTCTACAAAACTTTCGAGTTTTTTTATTTTGACAACAAAAATCGTGAAGAAACCAATGGCGGAAACTTTAAAATTTAAAAATAATTGTCATGAGGATAATATATATTTAGTAAATTAAAAATTAAATAACTTTTACAATATTATAAAATATATTTAATATTTTGTTTAAAAAATATATATTAAACATATGCAACAAAAATTTTAAATATATAAAATATTAAACAAAAGATTTCCACATAACATTACTATTAACTCAATTTCTATTTTTATTCATTTTTTCTATTCATCAATTCTAGTTTTTATTTATTTATAACTATATATTTTATACTTTAATAAAAATTATTATTAAAGTTAATTAAATAAGAAACTTTAACTTAAATTTTAAACATTCGTTTTAGAAGTTGTTGAAAAATTAAAAAAAATTTTTTTAGAATAATTTTTTAAATAATTATGTAGCAAAAATAATATATATAATAAAAAAATATATATTTAATAATAATAAAAATATATAAAAAATAAAATAATTAATGATTTATATTATTATTACTAATATTTTAAAACAAATATATTAAATTGTTTTAAACAAAAATTATTATGAAATAATATTAAACAAATTCAACTAATATCAAAAATATCAAACTAAAATGTTATTAAAATTAATTCGTATATTTTAAAACATATTTAGTTATAAAATAATATATTAAATATTTCATTTATTATTTTATAATTATTGTTTATATTTTATTTAAGATATTAAACATTTTTTATGTGTTATAAAGTTTTTTAATTTATCGAGGTTATGAAAATGTTTTCCACGGTAGAAGATCCTCAACCTCTTGAGATTCAAACAACGAATCCATTCACAAATCTCTTCAATGAAATCGATGTCGTCGTGAAGTACAAGATCTAATCCTTCACAAAGATTAATCCACGGAAGAAAATTTTCTTCAAAATCTTTTTTCGTTATTAAATAACGTGAGATGTTTATGAACAACTCTTCAATCTTATCTTTCGGTTTCCATCCTTCTAATTTAATTGGACAATAAAAGTCGACACGGCGAACATTTGTTGAACATTTAATTATAAGATTTTTTTCTTCATCACTTAAAATATTTTTACTAACATATAACGTCGATAACTTTCTTCCAGATTTAATGTAATGATTTACAAAAAAATTTTCACAAGAAGTTTCGTAAGAAGTTTTTCCATCGTCAATCGAAATCTTCCACTCTCGTTCATCGACGATTAATTTTATTTCATCAGTTAATGATGATTGACTTTCATAAAAACATTCAATGAATAAATTAACGTAATAATAACCACTTTGACGAGATAATTTAAGTAGACGATCTAAAGAAAAAATAAATATAAAATAACAATTAAATAAAAATTAAAATAATAATCGAAATTATAATATCATATACATTATAATATTCTACATTTTAATACATAAATCAATATCAATTTATAATTATTATGATATTTTATCATTCACATATTTAAATATTAATTTTTTAAATATAATTTTTATCACATTTTTAAAACAAAATAAATTCATTTTAATATAAATATAAATGAGTAAAATAATATATAACAAATTAATTTAAATAAATAAAAATACATTCCAAACAAACGTAGAAATTAAATTTAAATTCACGAAAACAACATCGTCACTTGTTTTAATAACAATTGTTATTAAAATTTCATTTGTACAAATGAAGAAATCGTACTTTATTCAATTAGATTTTAAAGTTTGTGAATCGACTTAGTAAAAATAAATCAAATTTAGAAATATAAAATCGAAAATCTCATTCGACTATCTTTTTTGAAATAAGTTATGCGAATAAAAAACTCGAAGAGTGAGAGTTTAAATATTCGATTTCAACGTTGATTTAAAATGCAAAAAAAAAAAAAAAATCATCTCACTATTAATATGATTTATGATATAAAATATTATCTATAATTTGTATATTTTATGTTATAAAATATATTATGTGATGAAATCTCCGTTTAATTAGAGTGAACAAAAATACCAATAATTTTTCAAGACAAATTATTCAAAATAGCAGAATGAAAACTAATTAAGAAATATTAATTAACAAATTTTTAAATCAATTTAAAGTTAAAAAATAACAATAACAAACAACGAATCTCTTAATTTTTAACTAAAAAAAAAGTTTTTTTGTTCATAATAATAATTTGAAAACTTTTTGTTTTAGAAATATTTAAAAAAATAAATAATAGAAGTTAAAATCTTTATTTCACAGAATCATTTTAAAAATATATTTTTTTACGTCATATATTTGATATTTCACTGTACTTTTAAGCTAAAGTAACAGACGCTCTCAAAGTATCAAACGTTTTGTTAATTCTTGTATCTTTATAAAATAAATTTATATATTAAAAAATAATGATACGCTTGATATCTATACAAAAAATTGTTTTGTACCAATTTGAATTAAGTTTCAAAATACGATTTCTTAAATAATTAACTAATTATGAAAATTAAACATTAAAGTTTTCAATTGGCGCTTTCTTAACCCTTCAAATTAAGTAAAATGATACCTTTAGCTGAGTTCATTGAAAATATCAAAGAGAAAAAATTGGTTGATTTTTAGCAACAAAAAAGACAAATGCCACTTCAAAATCTTTGTTTTAATTTACTTTCTAGATTCTAGAAAGTAATTATTGTATTTTCAACAGACTTCGTTTTTATTTTTAGAATTTGTAAATCTAAGTTTTACTTCATCTAAATAATACAGTGACATTCTAGAATCTAGAATGTCACTGCATTATTTTTTTATTATGTATTTTTATAATATAATTTACTTAATAAAAAAATAAACAAAAGCTTGTTATCAACAACTCCTTATAATCGTTGTAAGTTATTGTTTTGCAACAACTCAAATTTAGTTTCAAGAAATAAATTTTTAAATAAAAACAAATAATAAATTTATATTGAAGTATACTTACGACTTTTTTAAGCTTAAGTAGTATTGTTACCAGTGTTAATTAAAAACAATCGTAACAAAATGAGATTTTATATATTTAAAAACTCGATCATCGAACACAAAAAATCCTTCGACAAATTCGAAGAAAACAAATGAAATTCGAAACAACCGTATTGCTAATAGATATAGCAGTTTATTGTAACTAACGCAACCGTTAAAAAAATTTTTTTCTGTGACTTTTCTTGATAAATTCTTTGATAGCATTTTTATAAAAGGACTATAAATCAAATTTAAAGCTTGATAAAATGTTCATTAATAATTTTGACATTTTCATTGGATAACTTAAAATAATAATTTTTTAAATTAAAAAAAAAATTATTAAAAAAAGTGAAAAATAAAAAAAGTTTAAAAAAAAATTAATTAAAAAAAAAAGTAAAAAAAAAAAACATTTTGATAATAAAAGTTTAAAAAATAAGTGTATAAACAAGAATACAAGATTTTGATAAAAGAAAAAAACAAAAAAAAAACAAGAAAAAAAAAAAACGAAACAAATAAAAACAAAGTTAAAAGAAAAAAGTCATTGAATATGGATAATAATTAAAAAGAAATAAAATTTTTTCTACCACCAATATTTAATAAAAAGAAATTAAAGAGAACAATTTTAATTAATTTTGTGCATTGTTTATATGTTCTTTTAGATCCACTTGCTTCTGGCTGTAATTAAACTTTTTTTTTTACGACATGTCACACAGGCTGTGTAAATAAATTATCCTACAGAGCAATTGATATGGAAAAAAAAATAATCGGCCGGAATTCGGTATATCCCAACTATAAGTTAAAATTTTATAATAACAGAAAAAATTTGCAAATTATTATAAATTACTTTATTAATACCTATTAACAAACAAATAGTACTAAAAAATAACTCGCATATAACAAATATCAAAAAAATATTTACCTAAATTAAATAAACGTAACGACAAGACAAATGAAACGATTATAAAACACTGTTTTAATTGTTGCTTTTCTGATATTCAGAATTTTTATTTGTAATTGGGTGTTTAGTGAACATTACGGACGTATAAAAAAAGACAAATACAAAGAATAAATACAATTAATATAAAATTAGTGTGTCAAAAAATAACTTTGTATTAATTAATGTATGAATTAATGAAGTTGATCATTATTAATACGTTATTTATTAGTCTCAAGGCTCCACCTTTTATTACTTTGTAGTGGTGTTGCATAGGTGTTAAAAAGTAATTTTAGTTAGGTGTTAAAAAATAAATAAAGTTTAGTGAAAACTTGAATTTTTTAATCTTCAAGTTCTTTGGTTTCAGTTTTTGAAATGTTTCACAGTTTTTCAACAATTGACTTTTAATACAAAACATTCTCTAGCGTACAAAAAAAAAAATTACACAAAACGATCGCGGCTTTCAAAAAAAAAAAAAAAACCAACAACTTAATTGTACAAAACATTTTTACAACTGTTGCATAACATTTCTACATTAATCGAAACAAAGTTAGTGCATTACAATAACATTTAAATAAAATAAAATCGCCATTCCCTCATGACATTTGTGAGATTTTACAAATAAGTAAATGCCCATTACTAGGTTAAAAAATCAAGCAAAACACATGAAATAAATAAAGTTTTATAGAGAATATTTTGTATATTTAAATGAATAAAATATTTTTTTAATGAATTAATTTTAAATAATAAATTTTATCAAGTAACATAAATATTTAACTCCTTTTACATCAGCGAAAAACCCCCATAAAAATTTAAATAAAAATTTTTTAATTTGAATTAAATTTTTTTTTGTTATTTATATATTATTATCAATTAAACAATTATCACATACCATAGTAACATAGTAACCATATAAAAACACAAAATTGTAAACTAAAAGAGTCAATCCATAGATATAATGCAATACTGCTTTTAATCTAATACACTTAGCAAGCGTTTCACTGGCAGCAGAGTTAAACTATTCAATGAGAGTAGACTTAAACTAGTCGATGACAGTAGACTTATATTATTCACAGACAGTAGATTTAAACTATTCCATGACAGTAAATTTGAACTATTCGATGACAGTAGATTTAAACTATGCAGAGACGTGGTTCTATTGCTCATTGCAAGTTAGTAATAACTTTAAAAACACGCAGATAAACTGAAGTAATAATAAGATGATAAATAAAAACTTATATAAAAATCCAAAGTTTTGCACTTCACCGTTGACAATATGAAAACATATTATTAAACTGATTACTAAGGTAAAAATTGATTAAAATTCTTGGACAAGCAGCTTAGACTTGAAATGCAACAGATTTGTAATTTGAACATAAAGTTTAAAAAGTGTCCGCAAACAGTTTCCGTTGACATTTTTTTTGATTTCGAAGTTGTTGAGGGCCACTGTGACAGCAAAAAAAATTTTTATAAAATTTTCTGCCAATTTTTATTGCATTATTGAGGATATTCTGATGCTGATGAATAACAAACCTCTTACCAAGTCCTCTGACAACACTGTTACTAAGTCATCATCTTACAACACTCTTACTAAGAATTCTACTTTTCATCATTTTGGATTCTTCCTAATTATCCGTTTTTACTATCATAGAAATCAGATATACATTTATAGCAAAGTTACTATTTGCTAAGTTTGCCTCTCATTTATGTGCACACATAATTAAGTACATAATAGCCTGGACAGGCTCGGTGCTGGACATTCCTAAGGTGGTTAAAAAATAATTTTCAACCACCTTTATAGCTACTGTTAGTGGTAATGTGAGAAGAATTTTCAATGCAATAGATACATTTGCGTAGATTTCATTCAAATCATTTGTGTGCAAAAATTTTATAGCCTTTTCAGAACCCAAACTTTCAGTTAAATGAGAAAAAAGAGCGTGAATTTAAAGCTTATTTCTTTGCTAAAAAAATCATTTTTTTTTTTATTTTCAGATCATCTTCTTTAACTGTTAAGAGCTTTTGAATATCAAATAAAAAGCTAGAAGGTGCAAATCTAGCATTAAAATCATTAAATCTTCTATTGCAATAGTAGCACATTTGGTATAGCACATGCGGTAGTGGTGTAGTGGTAAGAGCACTCGTTTTGTAAGCGAGAGGTTTGGAGTTCGACTCCCACCACGTCCCTGGAAGTACCGCTCTTAACTTAATTTCTCAGCGCAGCAGCCTTGCTTGTCAAGGTTCGTGTTTTGGAGTTGAAAAGTTGAAAGAGGGTTTTACCACGATTTACAACTAAAAAAAAAAAAAAAAAAAAAAATGAGTAGCCTCCTCAACTGTAGTGACCCCCTCGGGCCTTGTGGTGGTGAATAATTAAAAAAAAAAAATTTTAATATTTTATTGAAAATATCTTTTTTATACTTTTCTTTTGG